TCTCCTCTTGATTGTTTTAAGCTAGAGTATCTCCTCTTTGAGTCAGATGTCTTGTTGAGCTCACAGTCTACAGTACACTTACAATTCGTGCATTTTTATTAGATATGGATTTGGGAGCAAAAATTACTACTTTCGAACAAAAAATTAAAGCAAGAAGGTACTAATAAGTGGTTTGAATTCACACTTATCAATATGACATTCGCGTAAGGTGTCATGTGCATCCCTTTTTTAGAAACTTTCCAACCAAGAAACCTGGCAGTTCTTACTGAGGAAGCGTCCAACGTGGATACCATATTTATCAAAAACCCCACGATTTTATCCATGTAGCTACACAATCATTAATCCTCTAAAGCACATATACCATGTAAATTTGGATATGGCTTACATAGCGAATAAAACAATCATAAGGCCCTAATATTCCTCTCAGCCTTAGGAGTGATCAAAATTCAACCTTCAAGGATGAATGTCATACAAGGGGAAGAATGTAATGCCCCGTAAATTTTTACTCTTAACTTTGGCTTATATCAGGCTTAAATTTGATCTAGGTAAACTAGACCATTTACCTTAGAAAACTATTAATAGGCTTCAAAATTGTGGAGAGAGAGATATAAGTTCCTTTCAAGAGTTAAGGCTTTCTCTCCTAGCTAAAAAAACAGACTAAGCTTCTCCTAACTGCAAGACCTTCGACAATCCTCACCTCTATTTGGGTCAATAAAGGTTCGGGAGCCAAGTCAGGGTAAGGGAAGACACGAAAAGATACCTCAGCTACACCGTGAGGGGAGAATCCGGTGCCTTCCATGATCATCTAGAGCAACCTACAAACATCTGGAATATCCTATATTCATCCTTCATTAGGTAAGGGTAAGGTCGGCCTACAAACTATCCTCCCAGACCCCACCTGTTGCGTACAAAATTTATGTTGTTGTTGTTATTATATCCAGAGAGAAGCCTACACATGAAAGGAAAAATCGGAGGAAACCTTATATGGCACTTTCAGATCACTATAGAAGGACAGTTATAGGAAGAAAAAAAAAGAAACATAGGCATTTTACCTAAGTTAAAAGATTATTCGGTAGAGAAGGATAAGCACATCTCTCATAAATACTCGCCAAGATAAGAGTTTATGGTGCATTTATAGTATCCTGGAATCATTTAATGTTATGCTAACAATATTAATGAACCAAATCTATAGAATTCCATCTCAAGATCGAAGAATCCAGATCAAGATCTAAGTTAGAGTTCTTGAATTCAAAAAGGTAAATCTCTACATCCAATCACATACAAATTTAAGATGGATGTTTTGAGGGTTGTGATGAGTTGAAAAAGATATGATTAGGGTCGAAGGAGAGACAAAGGTAGGCCAAAGAAGTATTGGGGAGAGGTGATTAGGCAGGACATGACATATTTTTAGCTTACTGAGCACATAGATTCTTGATAAGAGGGTATGTAGGTTGAGGACTAAGATAGTATGTTAGCAGCAGGTAGTCGCACATTTTTTCCATACTAGTAGTATTAGTATTACTCCCGTATTTTCTTGTTTTTAGTTTTCTAATACTACTTGTTATTTTTTACTTTGGTTATCTTATTTTTCTTGTTGATGTTACTGCTTCTTTTTAGTGAATTTTCCACTACCATATTTATTTTTCATAACTGCTGGAATTATGTTTTCCTTGAATTGAGGGTCTATCGGAAAGAACTTCTGTACCTTCACAAGATAGGGTTAAGTTCTGCGATACACTATCCTTACCAAACTCTACTTATGAAATTTCACTGTGTATGTTACTATTCTTGTTTATCTGGGGCTTTTCACTGGTATTTTTTTATTCATAATGTCATAGAGGCTCCATATATATAATGGGTTACGTTATATTTTATCATTCCAAATGAAGTATCACATAGCATGTATGAATAACTATTTTTGCTATTTATAATTTTACAAGATATGACAAGTTTAAAGAAATGATTCAATGCTTTCTGAAGCCATGCATTAGTTATATTCATACAGTTAAGGCAAGTTGGTTCACCCGAATATAGAAGAGTAACTAAGTGTCGTGTATGTCCCTCAAAGCCGAGGCGTGACTGACTAACCCGAATAAAACTACGGGACCGAGTGCACTGTCCATCCCCCAAGTTTAGGGTGTGAAAAACTTAGTATTAGAGCCAAAAGTTTAAGAGTGTCTTAGGATTTCTTCGAACCGTGTTAAGTGAGTCATTCTTATCGATGTTTAACCAAAAAATGGAATTTCAGTCAAATTTTTAATTTAAAAGAACACGGGTTACTGATAATCAAAACTGAATAAAGGAAAGTGATTTTGCTAACAATAAGATAGACAGAAGAAAACAAAGTAAACCAGTATAGTCAAATGATCTTTCGTATCCTTACAAATGATTCATTCTCTCCTTTTTATAGCTATCTTAAAGATATACGTTTTGCCTTTGTTATAATTAGGCCACTATAGATAATTAAAGGCATTAAATGCTATGTTACATAATCATTGTAATTTAATACAGATTCTATAACGTTTTTAGTATTTACTGCTTATTAAATACTGTATTTGTACTCTCTTATGCTGTCAGATTCATTCTCCTTGACTTTTGAGTATAAATTGGTATGAGCGTTGGGTCTTTTGAATAACTGCTCGTGCCTCTACTTGTACCTTCTGCTCGTATCTATTGCAACTCGTGTCTCTTTGCCAATCATCACTCTTTGACCAGCCTTCGTGTCATGACATGTCATCTTCCAATCACTTTAATATGTAAACTCGATTTTCCCAATACAGATAGTCCCCCCACTTACCATTTATTCATCAATTGAATATTTGGGAAGTGAATTTTATTAAAGCGGGAATGTTGCCGCTATTAGTGCTACGGTAAAATTGACGCTTCAATTGTCACTTCCATTTAATGCTTATCACACGTGGCACCCTTTTATTGGCTCTGCAACTTTGCAGCACTTTTTAGGGCTTTTTTTACAGCTTCACTAATCACGAAGCGACAGTTCTCATTATGACCTTTCCATCATTGCACCTTTTCCTTTGATAGTTGCTTCCTAGTATAAATATAGTTTTCGTCTTTATCCTTATCACATAAAGTTCTCTGAGTATTCAATTCTTGAATTTTTATTTGCTTCTTCCTCGTACTATCATGTCTTTACCAAACTCTAACCCTAGAAGAGTCCCCATATTTGATAATTTCCCTCTTGCCCCTAGCAGGAGTAGAAGAGGAGGTAGACTTCGTAATTTAGGGTCTTCTCTTCCTTCATCTAGTTCCAGTCTTTCCTTTAGAACCAAAGGTTCTTTCTCACAAAGATCTTCTTCCAGGGGTAAGGAACCTGCTGAACCTGTTCGTGAACCTACAGTAGAAGAAATAGTTCCTGTGGAACTATCTTTCTACAATGACAGGGAGTCCATTAGAAATCAAGTATCCTCTTTAGATCGTGCTGATATCTATCCAACTCAGATTACAGAGGGTCTCATTTCTTTAGTTCGTAAAGACTGTCATTGGAGTCATGACTTTCCTATCATAATTCCCAATGCGAATCAATGAATTACCTCTTATTTAATTGGATTTTCCTTTGTTTATACATACCCTTTCACATTAGGATTCAAACCTGCTATTGATCCTGTTATTCTCGAATTCTATCATTTTTTCGATGTTTGCTTAAGCCAAATTGGCCCTATAGTGTGGAGGGTTGTTGCATGTTTGAGGCATTTGACAAACATGGCCGGTGTGCCTTTCACTTTTGCTCATTTTTCACCTTTACTGTCCCAGACTTTTCCGCCGAGGCGTTTTTACTTTAGTAGCTTGGAGCAAAAGAGTCCTGGTTAGTCCAGAAGATGACAGAGACCGTGGCTGGTACGCCAGATTTGTTGCTGCCCCCACCGTGGGTTTAGTGGGTGATGAAAATGTGCCTTTCCCCGAGAAGAGGAATTTTGCACGTGCGTTTTCTTTTTTAATAACTTTCTCGTACCTTTTTCTTCAATTTTGATGATCTCTATTCTCATTTTCCTTTTGCTTTTTAGCAACCATGGGAATTGTTGAAGAAATTTTCAATTTCCGTGGTTGGGTAGGAAGGTTACTAAATACAACCCCAATGGAGGGTAGATCTTGGAAGCATCTTTACCAACGACTTGGTTGGAAAGTGAAAACTCATGGTAAGATTTTTTGTATTTAACTTTTTATTGTTTTTCCCAGAACTTATTTTAATCCTTCTTTTTATCAGGATTTGCTGTTCAGGGGATTAGTGCCGAGGCGGTCGTGGCTTCCCGCATTTCTTTGGAAAGAGCCCAAGAGATAATCTTGGGTTCTTCATAAAAAAGGAAAGCTGCTAATGACCAAGATTCTGAAGAAGAGGAAGATGAGGGTTCCTTAGTAAAAAGGCGACGAGCTCGTAGGCGAATCATTTCTGATGATGAAGTATCATCCCTTGTTCTATTCCTCTTACCGAGTTTATTGAAGCCCCGATGATGATTCCTAATGATGAAGTCCTCGTTGTTGCTCATGATTCAGTTGAACAACTTTTTAACCGCGGGTTTGATGGTGAAAATTTAGGTCCGATTTCTGATGAAGCACCTCTTGCTTCCTTTTCTACTCTCGTTCCTGTGATTCCTCCTTTACCGGTCGTGGCTGTTACCGTTCCTCCCCAGGCTATTATGACTTCTTCCACAGTTCCACCCTTGACTACTCCTCCTTCAACTGCTCCTTACACAGAGGTTGGTTCTTCAAGTAGGAATGATGCTATAAGGCGAGTTGCCATTGAAGTCCCCGCTGAGGGTAACCTTTTAAGGAAATCAGGTCAAGCTGACATGTGGCTAAAGCCTTTGATTAGTCCAGTTGAGAGAGCTAAGCTTGATAGCCATAGTTTTGTGACCTTGATGAATGATATAGTGCATGCTTCTTTAAAAGTATTCCTTTTTTAAGCTTTACTTTGTCATTTTTCTATCTTCAGGATTCTTATTTTTTCCCTCTCTTTTTTCTAGGTCAATCTAATTGGCACGGAGATGATGAAAAGGGTTACCCTCTCAGAGCAATTAGTGCGTGACTACCAAGTGGAGGCAGATAATTGGAAGGAACGGTGTGAAAGTCTTCAGATCGACATGGAAACTTTAGAAGAAAGTAAAAATACCTTAGAACAGCAGGTACGGGCTTTGACTTCAGAATTGGCAGTTGAAAAAGCTTCTTCAAATCAAGCAAGTAAGGAAAAAACTCGTCTGGAAACCTCTTTTTCCGAGCAATTGTCCAAGGCAAGTGAAGAAATTAGAGAGTTGAGAGCTCTTTTGAGTGAAAAAGAAGCATATGCTGGTGAACTCGTGCAGAATTTGACTCAAACTCAAGAATATCTCTGGGTATCTTCTGATAAGGTTTGCTCTTTAGAGAGTTCCCACGCTTCTCTTCAAAGTTCTTATGAATCTGCCTTGGCTAAAAATGAAAAGTTAAGAAATGAAATTGCTGACTGGGAAAGAGATTACGAGATCCTTGAAGATAAAACTGCCATTGAAGTGAGTTGGGCGTTTTTAAATTCTCGCCATGATACCCTCATTGAAGTTAGCCAGTAGAATTTTAACTTGGAATTTGAGTTAGCCAAGATCAAAGAGACTATTGAGAAGACTTAGCAGAACCAAGATTTTTCTTCTCCCGTGGCTGAAGTTTCTAAAAATGTTGAAGATAATACGGGTATCCCCACTCCTTCAAGTCAAGTTGAGCTCGCTGCTGCCGATGACCATGCTTCAGTCCCTTCATCTTCTCAGTGAAAAGTTTATGTTGTTTGAATTCCCTTGTTTTTTTTTTCTTTTTGTTGGTATGTGATTGTGACCCTTAATATTTTTAAGGGTTTGTTGAAAACGTTAAGTCCCCAGTCCTTTTATGGGGCACTTTGTATAAACAACTCTTTGTTTATGACTAAGTTCATACTTCGTCTAAACTCTTTAATATTAAGAAGTTCCTGCTGCTGTTTGAACTTCTGTTTTGTTTATTCTTGCCTTTATTTTTAAGGACTTACTGAATAACTTGTATTTTTATTCTTCAAAAATGCTTCTGTTAACTTCATGAATACTTGAATTAATCATGAAATTTATAAAAGAGGGACCTTTTATATTCGACACTTAATGAAGAAGACGTCTCAACTTCATAATGGTGTTAATATATGATAAAAGAAATAGGAATACACATGTTGTTTAGAATAACTTCGACAAGTTTTTATTTGAACTTTGTCAAGTTTTAAATAACACTTTACATGTATTTGAATTACTTCTATAACTTTCTCGCAACTATTTTCCTTATAACAAATTTCAAAAAAGAAAATGAATACAAGGTTTTTACTTATAACTCGTTTCAGTACATTACCTTTACCTAACTATGATAAGATTTTTCTTTGGCTTTAGCTCGTGACTTTGCTCTCACTCAATGAGTAAACTTCTCAGGCTTGAACATTGATTATTTCTCAATCTTCTTTGCCTTCTTCATACACATATATTATATAGTCCCCATATAGTCCCCCAAGTGTTTGAGCATTGAAGTATGAAGTCTCGAGCACTTGATTGTTTCTCTCATTTGGTTCTTTTCCGGAAAAGGAAAAACACACAGGACTCGGAGGTGCGATTATAGATGAAGACTGCTTAACCCGTCTGAATTTCTATCAGAATAGTTGTAACCCTAGAACAGGAATTTTAATTTATTCCATGTGCCTTGCAGGTCGTGATTCATCATTTAGTATGGGCTAGCTTTTTTGCCTATCATCTAAAATCGATAGTAAAATTTTAACAATTCAAAAATAAAATTTTAAAATATGGATACCTGACCGTGGGTATTCCTTAGAAATAGTATCTCTTCAGGTGAACGACATTCCAGTGTGAAGGTAGTATTTTGCCATCTATCGTTTCCAGCTCGTATGCTCCTTTTCCTGCAATACCATGAATCCTGTAGGGTCCTTCCCAGGTTGGACTCAATTTTCCAACATTGGCTGCCTTCGTAGATTGAAAAACCTTTTTGAGCACGAAGTCCCCAATCTTGAAGAATCTTAGGCGTGCTTTTTGATTGTAGTATCGTTCTATGACCTGCTTTTGTGCTACCATTCTTATTAATGTAGCTTCTCTTTTTCCTTCAAGTAGATCAAGATTTGTGCACATTTCTTTGCCATTAGACTCTTCTGATGCTTGTGTAAACCTTGTGCTTGGCTCTCCTATCTCAACTAGAATTAAAGCTGCAGCTCTATAAACCAATGAAAATGGTGTTTCTCCTGTACTTGTTTTTGTTGTTGTATGGTATGCCCATAAAACACCCGGTAACAATTTTGGCCAATTACCTTTGGATTCCTCCAAACGCTTCTTTAAATTGTTGATAATGACTTTGTTTGTTGGCTCAGCTTGTCCATTACCCACCGGATGATAAGGTGTGGATGTAATCCTTTTGATCTGCCAACTTTGAAAAAACTCTGTAATTTGTGCGCCTATAAATTGAGGGCCATTATCACACACGATTTCCTTTGGCACACCGAATCAACATATGATATTTCGCCAAATAAAATCTCTAACTTCTTTTTCTCGCACCCATTTGAATGCTCCTGGTTCCACCCATTTAGTAAAATAGTTAGTAAGTACAAGCAAGAATTTTACCTGTCCTTTTGCTTGTGGTAGTGGACCCACGATATCCATTTCCCATTTCATAAATGGCCACGGTGCAATGACTGGATGTAACAACTCCGCAGGTCTATGCATGTTATTACCGTATCTTTGGCACTTATCACATTTAGCCACAAAATGTTCCGTTTCTTCTTCCATTTTAGGCCAGTAATAACCAACCCTAATCATGGTTCTTACTAGTGATCTTCCTCTGGCGTGATTTCCACAATGCCCCTCATGTATCTCTCTCATTACATATTCTGTCTGTGAAGGCTCGAGGCACTTTGCTAAGGGTCCACCGAACATTTTTCGATAAAGATTGCCTTGCTTTAAACAATATCGAGCAGCCTTTTTTCAAAGCGCGTGAGCTTTTTTCTTGTCTTCAGGGACGGTTCCATACTGCAAAAAAACAACAATCACGTTCCTCCAATCCCAGGTTAAGTTATTAAAATTTACCTCATTTTTGTCTGGATCGAGCACTGAATGAAACAAATGAATTACGGAAGCATTTTCATTGTTTGCCACGTCTGCTGCAGATGCGAGATTGGCTAGGGCATCCGCATCGATATTTTCATCTCTTGGTATTTGCATAACTTTCCAGGTTTGGAATTGCCTGACCAGATCCCGTACCTTCTCTAAGTACTGCTTCATCCGTGCTTCCCTAGCCGTATAAGTCCCCAGCATTTGATTAACTACGAGCTGCGAATCGCTTTTGATCACAATCTAATTAATGCCGAGTTCTCGTACTAGTTCTAAACCTGCAATCACAGCTTCATACTCTGCCTCATTGTTAGTTATAGAATGACATTTAATGGCTTATCGAATGGTTTCATCCATAGGTGGTACCAAAACAATTCCCAAGCCTGCACCCTTCATATTAGAGGAACCATCAGTGAATAAGGTCCAAATTCCCGGATTAGAGCCAGAGCCGTTGAACACTTGTAACTCTTTTTCTGCTTCCAATTGCATTCCTTGGCTGAAATCAACCACAAAATCTGCTAACACTTGATATTTTATTGCGGTTCTAGGCTGGTATGTGATGTCATATTCACTTAATTCTATAGCCTCTTTAGCTAACCTACCTGACAACTTATACTTATGTAATATATTGTGTAATGGATAAGCAGTTACTACAGTGATAGGATGACATTGAAAATAAGGCCTTAATTTTTTAGATGCCATGATTAATGCAAGTGCTAGCTTTTCTAACTGAGGATACTGCGTCTCCGTATCTAATAAAGATTTGCTGACATAATAGATCGGAGGTTGTTTACCTCGGTTTTTACGGACTAAAACAGCACTTACCGCTACTTATGAGACAACAAGGTAGATGAGCAAACTTTCCCCAGCCTTTGGTTTTGCGAGTAATGGCGGATTTGACAGTTATACCTTCAAATTTTTGAGTGCCTGCTGCCTCAGTCCATTCGAACTCATCTTGCCTTTTAAGAGTTGAAAAGAACTTAAGGCATTTTTCTGATGATTTAGAAATGAATCTCCCCAAGGCTGCAATTCTTCCTATCAACCTCTGCATTTTTTTCTACTTGTAAGCATGTCAGGAATTTCTTCAATGGCCTTAATCTGTGTGGGATTCACTTCAATACCACAGTTAGAAACAAGAAAACCCAAAAACTTACCTCATGCACACCGAATGCACATTTCTCCGGATTTAATATCATATTGAATTTCCGCAAGACCTGAAACGTATCACACAAGTGCGATATATGATCCCTTGAATGTTGAGTTTTAACGAGCATGTCATCTATGTAAACCTCCATTGTTTTTCCCAAATGTTCTTGGAACATTTTGGTCACTAGTCTTTGATATGTTGCACCAGCATTTTTGAGACCAAAAGGCATTACTTTATAACAGTAAGTCCCCCTATCTGTTATATATGAAGTTTTTTCTTCATCTATTGGATCCATTTTGATCTAATTGTATCCTGAATACGCATCTAAAAAGCTTAACAATTCATGTCCTACAGTAGCATCAATTAGTTGATCTATATGTGGTAATGAAAAAGAATCTTTAGGACAAGCTTTGTTAAGGTTTGTGTAATCTACACAAACTCGCCACTTACCATTCTTCTTCGGTACCCCAATAGTATTGGCTAACCAATTTTGATACTTTACCTCACGGATAGACCCAATCTTTAACAATTTTTGAACCTCATCTTAAATCACCTAATTTTTGAAAGTTCCTTGCTTTCTCTTCTTTTGTTTGACAGGGGGATACAATGGGACTTCATTTAATTTGTGAGTTATTACCTCCGGTGGTATTCCTATCATATCACAGTGGGACTAAGAAAAATAATCCACGTTAGTTTTTAAAAATTCAATCAACTTACCTTTCATGTCTTGGCTTAGATTGACCCCTATGTAGACTTTCCTTTCAGGCGATTGCGCAAATAATTGTGAGCACGTGATTTTTGCCTTACGAAAAACTACTCCAAAATAAATCAAAAGATAAAATA